TGAGATCTCAACGAAATAAACAAATTATTAAAACAGCATTACAGATTACAGCAACAGAACTGAAAATATAAGGTTACAAGTTATAACTTGAACTTGATGGACGACAAACAACGATGTTACTGCAACCAAGAGCAGAACGAAAAAGAACGAAGAAAAACGAAATACAAAATACAAACGTATGTAACGAATTCTCAGATAGATAACAACCGTGGTCATGAACAGTTACCAACGGTATGTCATCTGTGGTGAGCAAACAGTATGACCATTATAAACGGCGGGAGTTTTGAAAATACTCAGGTTAACAATTAGTGCCTTAACAACTATCATTATTTATAAGTTACTTTCAATAAAAGTTAATTCAATTACTATAAACTACTTAATACTTATAAAGTAATTTTGTTGTATTAACTTTTAAACTTAAGGTAAGTTACTCTACGTCTTCGTGACATTGGTAATGTCATTGATGATAAGTCACAATTATATTTTAATGGATTCAAAACTTAACTACCTAAAAATTTAACTCGATTTATCATTTGTAGCCTGTAGAGTGTAGGACGACATTTATGAAATGTTAATTCCGGATTTTTCCTGCAGTTGTTTTTACATTTCCAAAAAGAACAACTCTCGTGTGAAGTTATTTTATAGTGGTTGGTATATAAGACAAAACCCTTTAAGGGGACGGAGGGGCCGAGTGGATAACGCCTCGGTTGCAACGCGCACCGTCGCCGGTTCGAACCTCGGTCACGGCCCACGGGCGGCACTTCTCTCCGGGCAGTCACGGTGTCCGGTCCGGAGAGAGAGGCCGCCATCCCCCAACCGAGCATGGCAGAAACCTACGGGTGCCCACTAGATATTCTGCCAAACAAACACACACGTGTTCCGTAACCCTACAGTTCCAAAAACCCTAGTTCCAAACCCTACAGTACCACAACCTACAGCTAATGGCCTCAGATGTCGAAGCTTAAATAAATAAAAGAAAAGAAAACCCTTCAAATATAAAATTTTTGGAGAAAAATAATCATAAAGAGATATTAATAACAAAATATCGAAAGATTTATATAATACCATCCTCCCTGCCATAATTAAAAGAAAAAACACAAAATCATGCATATTTTTTTTATTTTTTGTATAAATATTTAGTTAATTATTTAGATTATTTAATATTTAAACAAAACAGTATTTTGAATAAAGGACGGATTTTTGAGTAGAAATAAGAGTTATGTAGGCAACTTATTTACACATAGCCCAATATACCTATATAATATATTTCGGTAGTCGGATAGGCAACCACTACGATTTCAGGAGGCTATGTCGACGTTTGACGTTTGTTATCATTGACTGTCCCGTATTGTCATATAGTATATTTGATCAAATACAAATCAGCAATCACCGAGCACTTAATCACCATAAGAGCTGCTTATCAATAATAATTGTAATGATTAAATTGTTAAAAAATAATATATTTATTAATATTTTAGAGATATTTGAAAGCCCAATAAGTGACCGTACGTAAGATTACGTAGAAACCAATAAAACGACCCTTGAAAGTTCTGACGGCCGCAAACGAAAAAAGGCCACACACGAAAAACACTACACTCGCCACTCGCGGGTACGGAGGTGTTGGAACTGGTGCATACATGATATACACAACATTGATCTCAAAAATCCAGATTTGGTTCAAGTCCTCGCAATGAGTCACTTGCTTAGCCGTATCATTATATTGCTAAGCTACTTTTATTATTACTACACCTTACCCCTACTCACATGCCCGCCGAAGGATCTGAGCGTCAAAAAGTTCTAATTGCGATTAGAATAAAAATCAATATTTCTTCTGTTTTGAAAAAATAATATAATATAATATTTCGGCACACGCCAGTGTTGACGTGACAACATGCGATACAAGACAAAAACACTCATCGTTAACACATCAACATCTGACGAAGAGGGAAGACCCCCCTATTTGTATAAGCTGTGGCACACAGCTCACCATCAAGCATATCATTACAGAATGCCGCCAGTTTGAGAGAGAGAAACGGGAAGCAGGAGTACCGCACATTTTCGCCGAAGCCCTTCAGCCAGCCAACATTCAAAACACGATATCACTTATTATCAATTCTAATTTAATCAACCATCTGTAAAATAATTTGTATATTAATATTAAGCAATTACCTTCCAATGTAATCCCATAAATTTGTTGTAGCCAATGGCCCTAGATGCCGAGGCTTTTATTAATAAAAAAAAAGACAAAAAGTCACGGCGGCCGTGTTAAACATATACGAACTGATTCGTCGGCGGCGTAATGTACATATTATATAATTCACACACGACACAATTATAACAAAAATAAACAAAAATACAATTATATAAAAAAAATTTTCTTTATGTGTTATTAAAGTATTTTTTATTCAATCTGTTTCAATACATGAACAATAAGAATAAGAGATGAAGTAAATAAAATAAAAAAATAAATAAAAATAAATGACGGATTATCCCGAATGTAGAGGCCTCCCAGCGGAGGTACAATTAAATAAAAATAAAATAATACAAATAAACGGTGATGTGCGTGTGTGTGTGTGAGGAGTGTCACATTAGTTCTCGGCTTCAACAAAAATGTAGTCATAGAAAATGAATTTGAACCAATAAGTATAACATTTAAAATTAAAATATGAACACGGAAATTAGTCAAGTTGTGAGCATGCACAACTTGCTAGACAGAAGTAATATTAAGAACATGTTTAAAATACTCCGAATAAAATATTTAAAACACTTTAAAAGTATTCCGAATACTTTTAAAATGCTTTTTAGTTTTAGTTTTAGTTTTAAATATTATTATATTAAACCTCGTATTAAACAAATGGTACTTTTCTTCGGGAAAACTTGAAATTAGCGACGTATATAAGTCAATAGTTCCAAATAGGTATGATATCATTTAAGTTGTTGATACTTGGTTTATAAATTATGTATTTATGTGATGTATCATATTTTAATAATGTTTTTAAAAAGTTTTCTAAAAAGTTATTCAGAAATCATTGGAGCACCGTAATCTAGTTTTGATAGTTTAAAGGGTTTGTGTATTTTAAGAAGGGTTTGAGATTGGGCTCTCCACGAGGTGTGAGCGAAAGTTTTTATAATGTTCAGTCTTGAAGAGGTAGCATTCTTTAAATTTAAGATATGTGTTAAGGGATCCATGAAGCTTTATAGTCAAAAATAACGCTCAGTATTTTAACTTCGGGTTGCTTTTCTACAACGTGGTTTCCGATGTTAGTATGAATTTTCTTCCTAGTCCTCTTTTGGTTGAAAACTATAAGTCTGTTTTTTTTTCTGAGGAAAAACGGAAGCCATAAATTTTTGACCAGGAGATGAGTGTGTTCAAAGAATCTTGTGGTATTTGTTGGATAGAATTAATATTTGTACTGCGACAGAGAAAAGTGAAGTCGTCTTGGCACAGCAGAGGTATGGTTGGGGGTGTCACGTAAATACATCGCGGTAAATTTGTCGTGGTAAATTAGGCGCGGCAAGTTGGGCGCCGGTGTAATATCGTCGCACGTAATTTCGGCGAGTTACGATACATGCCTTATGTACAATATTTTATACTTTATTATAAATACCTAGTTTAAAGACAATATGCATAATTTATTGGCAAGTATAAAATATAATTTAAGTCAAATAAGTCAAAATAGTTTTAAATTTTAAAAATATAAATTAAATTGTTCCACAGATAGCTAATAATAATAAAAACAAAAATGTATACAAATAAAGTTCTAAATTATAATTGCAACTGGAAATTAACAGCTATCCCATATAACACATTATAGGATTTATAATCACAAATCATCGAGTCACGAGCCTATCATTTTACCTATAATTTAGATAGGTACCGCAATATAGACAACGATAATTTAAAACCATCATAATTTAGATATCCGACGATATCATTAAATTGACGCGATCTAATACAAAACGACTATATGACGCGCGATAATATTACACCGCGACCAATTTACTGCGCCTAAATTCCCGCTCTCAATTTATCGCGCCCAACTTACTGCGACCAAATCACATGGAACCATGGTTGGGAGTGTTATTTCTTCAGATATATCGTTGATAGCGACCAGGAAAAAAGTCACGAAAATGGTAGACCCTTGTGGGACTCCATTTTATTGGAGAATGGTGTCTGAAACCATATTGGGGGTTTTTATTTGAATGGTGCGGTACGTAAAGAAATTCGAGATAAAATCTAGCATGTTTCTTTTGGCAATTATTTTGTTGAATTTATCTAATATTCTGAGTCTCTCCGCCGTTTCACGCTTTAACAATGTCAAAGGTTATCATCCGCAGGCTTTGTTTGTTAAATAAGTAATTGTGAACTTCATATTTTATGGTTAGAATAAGGTTGTTCATAGTGCTACTATTATGTCGGAGTCCATTTGTACAGGGGTAAGAATGTAGATGTTTTCAATAAACCATATACGTAGATCGGCGATTGATCATTTTTTCTAGTATATTACACAAAGTATTAAGGAGACAAATAGAACGAAATAGAACGGTAGACAGGTGGAAAGTAGACAAATAGAACGGTACCTTTCTGCTTGGAATTTATTTTTGTTAGGCTTGAGTATATGGGAATAACATATCTGAGTTTCCAGAAGTTAGGAAAGATGTTGCTATCCCATATCGTGTTATTAATGGCTAAGATGTGGCTTATGCAAATTTTTGGGTAGTTTCTGATGCAAGAATAATTCATCCCGTCGAGGCCAGTGGATTTACTTTTACAGTTATAAATAGGGTCTTCTAGTTCCGCGATCACTAGTGGAGAGTTTAGTAGTGATTGATGGGAATCCGGAGGGTTTACCGTATTGACTGAGTTGACATACACTACACATACTTCACACAGAAGGAGAACAAGTATCATAATATTATATGCGATATTTTTTTTTATCTATTTAGCGATTATAATAATAATGAATAAGATACATTCAACTTAATAACTTAGGATTAGGTTATAACATTTTTTTGTTTTTCAACTTAAAAAAATACATCCGTATAAGTTTTTTTTGTCGATCTAATTTCAATTTCGCTGATTTAATATCTTTCTCTGTCTTTTCGATAGACCTTTTAACTTCAAGATAGTGATTAATTCGTTGGTCCTAAAAAATAATATATTTTTCTCTTTGTATTATATAGTATTGTAATATCATTTACTATAAATTAATATAGTACTATTATAGAACACATCAGAATTATATGATTTTAAAAGCGCGAATTGCATGATCTCTATGTAAATTATTATTTTTTAAGTTAATAAACCTATATAAATAATAATTATAGTTATAAACTTATAACTTATATTATATTATGTGTATAATATTCATATAATACTATACCTATGCGGCTATGCAATATAATTTAATACTCTATACATTTTAATAGTTAAAAATTTGTGTTCTTGTATTTCAAAACAATGTCAGCTTTTTATTTTAAAATGTCAATCTAAATAATATTTTAATTTTAAAATTACTCATATTTTAAAACTCCATACAAAATACACTTACTAGAGTTTCACTGGGTATTATCTCGATTTGGTGTTGTCCATATTTATAATTACCATCGTCGTCATTATCTATATCATTCCTATAATTATCATGACTCTCTGCCACTGCAAGTAACTAAATTGTAGAATAAATCACTAATAATATTACATACCTATTAATTTTCACTTTTAGACTCATACGTAAAATGTTTACATTAGATATCCATATCTGGATGAACCTACTAAATATCATTAGTTCTATAATTATGCCTAATATAGAAACATGAAAATATATATTTTTATTATGAAATTAATATCAAAGATGAACAATTTTTACTTTGTGATTGTGAGTAAAGGTGTTAGTCAACGGTTGGCATTAAATAGTTAAAAAGATAATTTTTGAACTTAAGTTTTCTGTGTTCAAATTAGGATCATTATCCATCGGCGACCAGTTTTTGTCCTGCAGCGGTTAGACGCATTGCTTCCCTTACTAAGTTGAGGAGCGAGACCTGTGCTTTGCGACAAAACCACAACTCGGCAGCCTGGTAATGATCTTATTTTGAACAGAGTATAATTAGTTGAGATTCTAATTAATTTATTAACTTATATTGTTTAATTGACGGTTGAAATAACTTAGCTTTTCTGAAAAATAAAATAATCTATCAAGTTTCAAATCGTTTAAAATAATTTTTTTTATTTGTTAAATTATTTATTGATATGTGTATACAGTTGAAATATTAAATAATCATGTTAAATAAAATATTTCGGTATATACACTGTACATTATGATAAAAGTTCATTAAAATTGTTTTAATAAATGTTTTTATAATTTATAAAATCAAAAAGAATTTACTATAAAAAAGTAGCTTAACTTTTCTAAACTGAGTTAAATTAATATTAATATTATATTTTTTTTACTATAAATCTATCGAGATTATTTATTAACTGTTAACTTCTAACTTATCGGTCTTGTGTTTTCTTAACTTAACTTAATTTGAGTTAATTATTTTCATTAACTTGCCCACCTTTGGTGTTACTTTTAGTAATTTATTCCTATAACGTTTGATTTCTGCGTCCAACGATGGTAAGTCTAAACTAAGCTCGAATTTTTCCGAATCATATTTTTTCTTCAAATAATCTTGACGAACAACACCTATTCAAACATTTAAAAACTACTAAAGATAATTTTAAAAAAAACTACAAATCATTATTAACCATGATATTTTAGTATTTTGGTAGATTTATAAGTAGGCACTATAAATTATAATTAGAAAATAGAGACTGAGGAGGACTTTCACACATTCACAAATTTTTTCTGGTTGATATTATTATGTGTTAAGTTTAAAATGCAAAATATGATTTTCAACTTTGATGATGCAATTACAATATTAAAAGTATTATAAATCTTAGTACATACAATTTTTTTAAATGTTGTGGTTTTTGTTTTATTTTATTTTAATTAATCTATATAGACTAGTTTTCTATTACATAAGTTATGTTGTGTTATAACTTACAATTTACGAAATATGGTTTACAGTATTATATAGATAACGAAATTATAGAATTTTTAAATTGAATTAAAACATAAGTTAACAATAATAAACCGTTAAAAATAACAGTTTTAACTTAATTTAAATATAACAATGTGTTAGGTAACAATATTAAATATAATTAAAAATGTAGGTGTTTCCTGCTCTCATTAAAAGGTTAGCTGGGAGCTGGGGGATTCAAATTATAATTTGTGTTTGTAGAAATTAGATAAAATGGTTCTTAGGGAGTTCTACTATGAATGGTATTTATTCTAAAAAAAATCCGAGATAACATTCCTAGGCAGTCATTAGTATCAGTTGGGTAATAAATTGTGCAAATATTTTGAGTACAGTAGTAAATTAATAACTATAATATTAAGAAAATTTAAAACTCTGCTCTATGAACAATGGGTCCATGACATTACATTTGAACGAGATGAATCGTATAAAGTTATTTTGAACCAATTCTAACAAACTGTTTTTTTTTTAATGTAACTAAAAACACTTACTTTTAATTTAACTTAATTTTTTAACTGTTTTTTTTTTACTTTTTCTTTAAACCAGTCTAAGGAGTAATATTCTAAGTTTTGATGAACTTGAAACTAAAGTAATTTTAGAGGGAGATTGTTTGAAAAATTACCGGTAAGTCAAATTATTTTTTTTTATGAGCGTTTGAAATTCAAATTTTTTTCAACTTAAATGTTTTTTTTATTTTGTCGTAATTGTTGAAATTGTCAACAAATAATATTTATTTTACCATTTTCTGTATACGATACAATTTAAAAAATATTTCGACTCTTTTCGAGTTAGGTAAAAAAAATTTAGAAATTTAATGAAGGGTTCCTCATGCGTTGTTATAATATCAGCATAGGCGTAAATTGGTGTGGGGGGGGGGGACTTACAGTATTAAAATGTTATATTGTAAATGTTAAAGGTTTGTATTTTTAGATTGTGAGTGGAGAGATGAATTTTACTATGATGTGTGTTTTTTTATTTTTGTTTTATTTTTGTGTCCATCATAAAGGTTTGCGCAGTAAAGGTGCATCGATTTTCTTCAACAGCAAATTTTCTGGTAGGAAAGTGAATGATGTTGGTGCATTCGGGAGGTAAAAATTTGAAATTCCGAATAGTTTTCAAAAGCGACAGGAAAAATGTACATATAAACTTACTTAGTTCAACAGGTGTAAAAGAGAGCGGCATCTATTGGTATTACTCGAGTTTATCGACTGCTAGGGGAAAATCGCTGTAATAATATTAGCAAATTCCTCGTTAATAATTATTACCGAGGAATTTGCTGAATTTGACTTAAGTCAAACTTAGGAATCAGAAAATTGAATACCTATGACCTAGCTACTGTTATATGATTCTCCAGACTTTGGCAATATTTAAACAAATATTTATATTTGATTAAATTATTCCTAACTTATAAACTGAACTCATTTCTTCCTATACAAGCTATATGCTTATAGCCTATAAGTTACAGGCAGTGTTGCATATTGTTTATTTGTCAATTTTATTATGTGTACATATATTTGCAAAAATAAATATTATTATTATATTATTATATGGTTATTAATTAGTTATTATAAGGTTAGACAAAATAAACGCATTTACGTACCTACCTAATACCTATTATTATATTATACTCGTATATTATAGGTATTATGTTATTATTATGTTTGTTTGTATGTATTAAATGGAATATCCCCCAATGTTATTCTTTGATTAATTAAAAAATTTTGAGAATGTTTCTAGTTATTTTTGTTACTAATTTTAGCACTGTTCTCGGCCTACAATATAATATACATACTTAGGTGCTGTTTAAGTTCTTTATTCTTTGTGGTCATTTCGATTTGTTCTTTTAGTAGTTTTTTGTTCATCATCCTGACGTTATGCATGTCCGTTTCGAATACCGTATCCCGAATATGTTTTGAAGTCACGTATCTTTCGTGCAAAGTTTGCTCCTCGGTGATGGCATCAGTTATTTTGAATTGAAGGTCGTTCAGGTATATCGTCGACGACATCAATTTTTTTTTTATGAATTTCTGATATTTATCGGCTGGTATGCGTTTGGTTAATCTGTTGACGCCAGCCACCAAGACGTTCTCCCTATACGTATAATATTTAAATATATAGTTATATAATGTAGACATATAAATACATGTATCACACGCAGAACTCGGTATGTATTTTACAGTTCAGTCCTATGGACCACCCAATTCGATCATATTTCCACGTCCTTTCTTATAAGTTTATTATAGTCATTTAAAAAGATTAAAGATATAAATGTATGATTTTTTTTATAAGCATTTGAAGTTCAAATCTTGACTGAATTACATATTTGAACAAAAAATATATCGATGTTAGTTATTTTGTTGTAATTAAAAAAAAATAATTCATGGAGAATTTAAATTTTAAGCTTTTACGTATATTATAAATGTTATTACATACCAAATGACATTCTTAAAATATTCAGATAAATTTTAAAAATATGTAAGCGCACTCTGACCCACGCGCTACATAGACAAAATACAAATTTACGCAGAATCTTTTTGGCCCGGGGCCGAAGTAATGCAAAAATAGTTCAGTCTACAGTTCTCGGTTCATTAAAGAAATCTTTTTTTTTTAATTTTTGAATAAACTTAGAATAAAATGAACCATTATATTATAATTAAAATGAGAATGGTATTTTTTGAGGGATATATAATAATACCTATACGTTTAATCGAATTAAAATAAAATAAGAATATTATAAATAATACACACCTATAGGTTTCAATGTATTGAAGTTGTCTATTAATTTCGGTCTCAATGTTTTCAGTTTCGTTTTCAATTTTATCGAGATTTTTAATCATCTTATTGTTTATTTTATCGAAATATTCATCCAGAGTTATTAATGCTTTCTCTACCTCGGCAATCACTTGGTGTATTGATATCCTTTTAAGAAACCGTACAATCCATACAAATAGGAAATATATAAATCTTCAAACGAATAAACTACAGGTAGTTGTCATATTATCGAATTATAGTTAAAAGATTTAATTTGCATGTGCCATGTACGTTGTATTTGTTATTTATCTTGTACGTACTACGTACAATGATTAAGAGTATTTAACATATTCAGTCAACTGAATTAATAATGTTCTTAACATTTGATTAAAAAGTGGCAGAAAATGCTCGTAACAACTTAAGACTCATAGGTTTAAGCACGTTAATTCGTGTAGATATTTCATGAATGACAATAATAGTTTTTAAATCATCTTAGTTATTTATTATTATTTGGCGTGTGAATTTGGCTCATTTTTAACTCTGTATATTACCATGTACAATAATTATAATATGTATCCAGATACTTTTTTTTCAAGTTTCTACCTTATTCAATCTTGTTCATGAATATTGAATTATACAAAATGTTCATAATTTGCAAATAAATGAAAAATTGTAAAAAGTTAAGTGAATAGAATATTTCTTAATACGAACCAAGTTTCTTAAACTTAACGTACTTATTCATTTTAATCGCAGTATTAACAACACTATATATGCTACCAAGAACAGACTTATTCGATTTCGATAAAATCATAGACTGGCGAAGCTTTTCTCTTGATAATTTTGGAACTTTAGGAGAAGCTGTAGATAAACTATGTTCTTCGGCTTTGAAATCATAGGGCATCCACGATACGTCAATTGTGTCTGAGTACCAAAACATTAAAATGTATAATATTATTATTACTATAATTAATATATTAATATAACTGTAATATAATATTGTATACATTGATGAAATCAGTATTTTACTTGTAATTGCAAGGTCGGGTTGTGCTTTTACCAAATTCAGTTCTAACACTTCGCATTCGCATCTAAGTAACAAAATATTTTTTTCTAAAAATTCCAACTTCGCTCTTATTTGATCTGGTGTACACTCTAAGAAAAATGTATTAAAATAAATTTTAGTTACAACTGTACAAATAACGGTGCTAGATTATAAGTCATTACATCTTAAATCTTATTTAGATACATATTAAGGAATAATAATATGATATTATTCTATAATAAAGGGTCTGAATAGATATAAACGAAGTGGTTCAGCGTGATATTTAGTTGTAACTTGTAAGTATAAATCATTATTATACTACAACTACATATTTATCGTTTATTTAATTTCGAATAAGCATAGATACAGAAAATATCATATAATACTTTATTTGGTCTTATAAATTAAGTTTACCATGTGAGTTATACAAAATTATATTTTATAAATAAAATCTGTTCAAAAAGTCTTAAGTGATTTTTGGCAGCTTTAAATAATTTTTATGTTTTTATTTTACCTCTTAAGGGTGATACCAAAAATGGTTCCTGTTCATCACCCGTGAAATACCAAATAGTACCGGGTTCACTAAAAGTCGACATTATACTGTTACTAACAGATTATAATAATATAAAAACTCTAGTGAAATTAGATGAGCTTGAAATGAAGTTTTTTTATAAAATTATTTTGGTTTATAGTTTACTAGGCAACATTATCGTTATTAAATATAAGTATGTATATTATATACCGGATACGAAGACAGGTTGTCGATAACTCGTCAGTATTCACTAATAATATTTCGACTCCACTCTACGCAGTGAACGATCGTTTATAATAATTTTGTTAAGATAATGAATATTTTGATTAAAAAAAATGTGAAATTCACTGTTTTTTGATGTTGTCCAATTTAAGTACACTCAGTTAATATTTTATGGTCACTTTAAAAAAAAAAATGTTCACACATTTAACAACTTAGGAACTTATTATATTTTTACGAGTATATGGAGTACTTAACACTTCTTCATTAGTTTTCATTAGTTTTGTGTTAACGACTTTCGGTAAATTAAAAGTGGCTTTCAATTTTTTTATTTTTAAATTCTACATAAATATTGTGCGTACTTAATGTACTTGCTTACATTATAAAAACTATGTGCAGAGTTCGAGCATAATATTGTTAACCACTGATTGAAAGAATATATTTATTCACAAATCACAATTAATATAGGTATAATAAATTTGTAAGGCCAACCATGCACATCATATTATAAAAGCACTTCGTAGCTTATACTCCACTTGAACACCAACACAAGAGACCAGAGTTGTGAGTGAAAAAAATATGCCAGCAAATTTTTGGATTACAAAACAGTCCAAGTGTATCAAGCATTTGTGGGTAAAATCATTAAGTTTTAATTGCACTATGGTTATTGGAATTCAATATCAAATATTGACTATAATAACAAACAAATTAATGTAAGTATGCTATTAAATGTACAACTTATTATAATTATTATTAATGAGGTGGTTTGTACAAAAGTACAATAGTATCAGAGTTTAAAATAAATAATTATGTGAATTTCTTATTCTGCAACAGTGTATTCCCAAACACAGATTGCTTATTGAAATATTGTTTGATAGTGGCCGGCACAGTTACAATACAGGTATACCTATACCAAGAAAATACATTAATACTACAAATGAATCAAAAACAAAAAAAAATATATTTAAGACATTAGAAAAATAACAATTAAGAGAAATAATAATTTTTTTATAAGCTACATAATATACCATATTATTATATATTTTCTAAAGATTAAAAGAAGTTCTGCAATAGTTTTATAATATTTATAACGGCGCGTTAGATAGGCAATTTAGAGACATCGTCAAACAATTTAACCAAAATCGTTATTCTTGGTAATTATATGTAATTTCGTCTAAATTTTAACTTAAAATAATTATAAAATAGCTGGGTTTATGTATATTTTTATATTTTATGGTTACACAACTAACTACTTATGTGGGATCTTGTTGTAAATTTTCAATCTTAAGCTATAAAAATTTAACATTTTATACATTTTTAGCTATAAAATAATTTATCCATTTTCAATTTGATAGTTTTTCAAAATTTTAAATTTAAATGCTTATAAAAAAAATTAAGCCTGTATATTTCTAATGCTTTTCAACTGTTATATTGTAACAATATATTATCAGGACCATTGTTTTACATTTTAAAGGTTTTTGAAATAATGAATAATATTTTATAGAAATATATAGAAAAAAAAAACTATAAAACTAAAATGTACATAAATAGCTCAAAACGAGTCAAAATTGTTTGAAAATTTTATCAAGTATAGAAAACAAGAAAATAAACATATGACGAAAATTTTAAGTATCTACATTTATTCATTTTTAATTACAACAAAATAAGAAAATCACTCCATAAGAAATCAAGTGAATATCCATAATGTTGTAAAAATTTGAACTTCGACAGTCATAAATATTTCATTGACCAGACAACAATTTTTTTCGATAAAAGTAGACAAATTTATGAGGGATCTTGTACTAAAATTTCAGTTCTTAGATATAAAAAGAACAATTTTTATGAATTGCTACTTCAAATAATTTCCATTTTTTCATAATTTTTACGAATTTTGTCAAAATAAACTTTTTTAAATACAAACATCATTTTGGAATTGCTACAGTTGGTCTTGGAGGGTGCTTAGCCCCTCCCCCAAATTTAACTTATGGTTGGGTAGCAAAATGTTTCATAATCGTAATAGTATTTGCTGACTTAGTTCAAGTAAAATCCCACGTCGCAAACATCTTGGTTCTCGTCGCATTCATCTAGGTCTTAAAGGCTCACACAAAGAAAGGCGGTTTAATACTGTCATTGTACTACTGATATGAATGCACACGATGTCAGTCAGGTATCCTTCTTTAGTTATCATAACATGATGTATTGGTGTGACAAGACAGTAAGTTCATTGTTGCATGACTACACATGATGTACGTGATGTACCTAACTCACTAACGTGTTACTGCAGTAGTTCTCAACCTTTTTTGATTCATGTCACCTTTAGCCACTAGAATCAAACACTGCGTCACCCTAACATCAAAATAATAAACAATCTTAGCTGTATATTTTAAAATTATTCTTTTATTAAAAAAAAAATTACAGTACACAAAAAAAGCATGTTCAAAACGTTGACACTTTAAATTTAAACACATAAACTTTAAATTAGCAAATAAAAAAAGTAAAAGTTAAAACAAAAATAATGATTTATATAAATTTAATGTAAAATTTGACCCTGGTGTTTTATACAAAGTTGGGGAATCCTAGGGTTGATGGTGGAAAGAGCGAGATTAATTTTTAAAATTTTTATTTTATTTTCCTGTTAAAATTCTGCGTCATCCCTAAGCTAGGTCCATGTCGCCCGGTTGAGAACTACTGTCTTACTAGCTTGTTGACTGTTGGCGTAGCAGCCGTTTGAGCACGGCAGTTTGTATTCATAATTTTTGAGCTATTCGATTATATAATTGCATAATGTCAAAGCTCATTAAGCATAATGTTATAGGTAGGTACGATTGGGATGTCAGTCATCAACTTATAAATTTCAATTTTTAACAAAATAAAATAATATTAAGTACCTATTATTTCTTTAATAAGCCCAAAATCATGGAAAAATATCGGCCACTCAAACAAGTCAAACGTCAAAATAAGTATCTGATTTCAAACATCGTTTCAGAAGATTTAATATAGTTACGTAAGTTGAAAGTAACTGTTTGAGATACATTCGTAGGTTTGTAGAAGAATTACTTACATGCTATTATGATTTCGGAGCAGCACAAGCGAATGTTTTTTGTAAAGAGTATCTAACAAATAGCCACAATACGCAATTCATGGATGTACTTTTGTGATTGGTGTGTAATTTGTAATTGATTATTAAATATATCACTGACACCTAAAAATGGTTTACATCTCATAGTAAATAATATTATAATTTATAAAGGTATATATGCTATATATTATATAATATATCTAGCTACGTAGATAATTACTTATGTAATAATATTACTAAATAATATTAATAACACTTAGACACTCCCACACACGTCAAATTTCATATAATCATACTTAATATTTATATGTACAATAAATTATCTACGCGTTTACATTTTTTAAATATTTACAAAGAGGATAAAATATGTGTACGTATTAAACTCGACGTATTATTCGGTATTAAAAGTGTCCGAACGATATAATATAGTTTTATTAAATAAATAACTAGTTGATAACTTAATAGTTAATATTATTGCTAATTGATATAAAAAACAAATAACAATACATAATAAATAATAAATACAGACAAATACTCAGTCTTTGCTCAGACGTAGGTACCTATTATATTTCATTAAATGGTGCATACAATTATAAAAATAATATAAACTTCGTCGAGTCGAGTCAGGTAGGTACTGCAATCATACACAGGTATAATAGGTACTTCATTCAATTTTCAAATTTTCATCAATATTCCCACCGAGTAGAATGTACATTAGTAATTAGTAATTACTAATTGACCTACTTTAGGTAATAGGTAGGTATTTCTGCTACAACCTATGGTATATGGGTACTCTATAATATAGTGCTCTTCGTTTCCAAGTACCTACCTTTAATTATATTGCATTACCTACAGGCTATAATATACTTTATTATATTATATTGTTATTAATAATAAATTAAAAGAAATTAAAAGATAATAACTTATTGTATTTTAGTTGTTGTATACTCAGCTAAACTCATTAAGTTATTGTTATTAGTGGTACTACTATAGATGGTACCCATCTTGTATTATATCATATTTACTTATAATTAAATAATGTTTGACTTACTTATTTAATAATTACAATAAAAACAAATATATAATTTATTTTAAAATTATAAATATGAATAAATGTTATGAAAATAACAGTAGGCGCTGATTGTGAACGATAACACAGTTTACACCCTTCAAGCCATTTGTATATAATATATATTTAAGTACCTACGGTTTAAGTGATGAATGTATTAATTCTAAAACAATGTGTGTGTTTTTTTGTGTCTGTCATCACCTTTTAGGACAAAGAAAGACAGAAAGATTTTCTTTAACAGCGTTGTTTTTGATAGGAATGTAAATCTAATTAGTACTAGTCAGAAGAAAAAAAATTCCCAATCGTTTCAAAAGCGTCAGGATAAACAAACAAAAAATTAAAGAAAAACTGAGATTCTTACTCAAAATTGGTTTTTGACTAAATCGATTTCGGTTTTTGGTGAACTCTAAAAAATTATCGCCGTATAGATACATGACATTTTCACAGAATGTTTATATTTGCATTTTTTATTCACCATAACATATATTGACTCCTGTTGAACTATTTATAAGAATGAAGTGATTTTTCTTATTTAGTTGTCATTATAAAACAAAAACAAATACATTTTCAGTTTATATTTATTTTTATTATTTTCTGTACTTGATAAAAATACTTTTAAAAATATTTTGACTTGTTATTTGAGCTGTTTATGAATATTTCCACTTAAAAAATTTTTTTTTTCTTTAAATATCATAAA